AGGTCCTCCAAGAATACTTCAGTGCAAGATAGGACCCTTGCTTTCTCTACCATAGGCATGGACTATGTCGGGAGTTGTCTCTGAAAGTTCGGTTCTTGTGAAATGCTTGGAAGTGGAGGAGGAAGTAGAAGAAGAAGAAGAAAGTTCGGTTCTTGTGAAATGCTTGGAAGTGGAGGAGGAAGAAGAAGAGGAAGAAGAAGAAGAAGAAGAAGAGGAGGAGGAGGAGGAGGACGAAGAGGAGGAAGAGGAGAAAGAGGAGGTAGAGGAGGAGGAGGAAGAGGAGGAGGAGGAAGAGGAGGAGGAAGAGAAGGAAGAGGAGGAGAAGGAGGAAGAAGAGGCGTTGCAGTTCCGTTGCGTTTAGGTTGTGGGCTGTGAAGGCTATTGTCCTCTGTCTCTTGGGTTTCGCCTGCGTCGACACCTGTTGGTGGTGCCCGCGGCAACAGGTGCATGTGGATCCGGGGGGACGGGTTGTTCCTTTTGCGCCCCCGTGCACAGGTGGAGGCTTTCCGTCCGCCCGAGCGTGTTGGATGCATGGTGCATTCGTTTCTCTCTTGACTCGCGTTTCTCGATGCAGAGATGAGGCGTTGCACTTCGTTATCGATACGTTTTGGGCGGGCAGTGGCATCCGGCTGTGGGCCGAAGCGGTAGGTGGTCCCCTCGCACGCGCCGTTGTTCGGAAACTGTGGTTATCTTGCCATCCCAGGGTGTGGTGTGGGCGGGTGCTGTTCGCAGCCAATCAAGTGAGCGGATGCGGCGGACTGTGTTGGATTGTGTGCTACCTTGCCATTGGAGCTGGCCTACGTTCGGGAAGTTGACCTGCAATTCAAACAGCCAGACTTCGCAGCGTCTCGACAGCTCATTGCACATTCCAGGATTGTTCGACGTTCTTTTGGTAGGTTGGTAGGCTGGCCGGCGTGATGTGCCTACGTGCGCCTCGGCCATCGCTCCTTGACAAGAAGAAGAAGAAGAAGAAGAAGAGAAGAAGGAAGAGGAAGAGGAAGAGGAAGAGGAAGACGAAGAGGAAGACGAAGACGAAGACGAAGAAGAAGAGGAAGAAGAAGAGGAAGAAGAAGAAGAAGAAGAAGAAGAAGAAGAAGAGGAAGAGGAAGAAGAAGAAGAAGAGGAAGAAGAAGAAGAAGAAGAAGAAACGACGATTTTTGAAGGAGGAGGAGGAGGAAGAGGAAGAGGAGGAGGAGGAGGAGGAGGAGGAGGAGGAGAGGAGCAGCAGCAGCAGCAGCAGCAGCAGCAGCAGCAGCAGCAGCAGCAGCAGCAGCAGCAGCAGCAGCAGAAGCAGCAGAAGCAGCAGCAGAAGCAGAAGAAGCAGCAGCAGAGGAAGCAATTCGTTTACAGGCCTCGCTATTCGCGAAACTGGAGGAGGAGGAAGGAGGAGGAGGAGGAGAAGAAACTGGAGGAGGAGGAGGAGGAGGAGGAAGAGGAAGTGGAAGAAGAGGAAGAGGAAGAAGAAGAAGAAGAGGAGGAAGAGAGGAAAAGAAGAGGAAGAAGAGGAAGAAGAAGAAGAGGAAGAAGAAGAGGAAGAAGAGGAAGAAGAAGACGAAGACGAAGACGAAGACGACGACAACGACGACGACGACGAAAGAAGAAGACGACGACGACGAAAGAAGAAGAAGAAGACAACGAAAGAAGAAGAAGAAGAAGAAGAAGAAGACCAGCAACACCAATGACAAATTCCCTTCCTCTCTCCAACTTCTTCCTCCTCTTCGACTTCGCCAATCTTTTTCTCCTTCCAAATAATAATAATGACAACGAGTGGATACCAGAATCAATATCCGGCGTTCCCTCTTACTGCTAACGCAACAATCTCTCCAACTTCTTCCTCCTCCTCGAGTTCTCGCCAATCTTATTCTCCTTCCAAATATAATAATAACAATGAGTGGAGACCAGAATCAATATCCGAAGTTCCCTCTTACTGCTAGCACAACAATAGGTCCTCCATAGCCATGGCTTCCCCCTTCTTCCTCCTCTCACATGCCAAGGCTATGGTGGACTACTAAGGGCTCTTCCCTCTTGTGCAAAGGACAACACAAAGCAGCTATGTCGCTGCTCATCAGGCCGCCATACCTGACAATGCCTCGAGCTTCCTTGGTGCGGCACTACCCCAATTGGGGCCTTCCAGATGCATCGCCTATCAAGGTGATGAAGATGGTGTCCACCTTAGCCAGGTAGGTACCTCGCCACTCTCCTCCTTCGCCCCCTTCTTCTTCCTCCTCAGTATGGGCTACTCGCCATAGCCAGGCTGAGCGCCCAGCTCCTTCGTCAACCTCCCAGGCACCACTCCAAGTCCAACGCTTGGCCAGCAATATCCTTGCACACCGCAAATGAGGAGGAGCTACTTGCTCCTGCCGAAGATATAGCGACCTACTTGCCTCTTGGGCGGTGACTTCCCGTGCCGCACGGCCTCCCAGCAATCGGTACCTCCTCCCTTTCGGAGGGAAACATCATTGCAGGCTTTGATATCGTCCGTACGGGCCCTACACTCGGGCTACTTCGACTGGAACCGGCCTACCTCTAGCCTACCGCTACTAGGCCTCTAAAAAGGCCAACTTTTTGTCATTTTCTGCTTGGCCTAGAGTACCCGATACTTCTACCACTACTTGAGTGGTACCGGCCTACCTGCTGCTTGAGTGTTTTTCCCGCTGCTTTAAACCACCAGTACCTGGCCCAGCTATCGGCCGCGGCGCTTCCCGTATACGCGCCGCACCATTTGGGCTTCGGCCTGCCGGACCGCATTGGCTGGAGCCCGCAGGCAAAATGAAAACGAAAATTGCGACGGCGGTTCGGCATGACTTGGCGCGCAGCGTGCTTGGAGGCTCTCTTTTAGTCTCACGCCAGACCGTCACAGACCTCCTTGCTCAACCTCTTTTACCCATTCGCTGGTGCAACCCGGACGGCCTCAGGGCATACTCACACACTAGGACCTTTTTACGTATTTCTGGACGAAATTGTGGCCTGATGCATCCACGTATGGCCGTAAATGCGATCAGATACATTTGAGTTACTGCTAGTATGAGTACGCCCTCAGAGCGTTTCTGCGTTCTATTTCTTTTTTTGTGTGTGTAAGATTTATTCGTGGTTTAAGTGTTGCGGGCCTATCGCCGGCCTAAATTCGAGGTCCTCCGAGAATACTTTAGTGCAAGATAGGACCCTTGCTTTCTCTATCATAGGCATGGACTATGTCGGGAGATGTCTCTAAAACTTCGGTTCTTGTGAACCATCGGGCAAGCATTGGATCATTAAGGACACTACTTGCTTGGGGCACTTCAAAGTTTATTCACACCATGAGACACTAAGGTGGCTGAAAATGCAAGCCAAGATGACACCTAAGCTTACTAGGTGGGCTGCAGAGATAGAAGGATCAAGCGAGGAGTCCGACGAACTACGAGAGACCCGGACCCACGAGGAGGAAAGGATCTTTGGTAAGCCTAGGAACGAGAACCCTGCTGACAAGGAGGAGGCAGCCGAGAAAAAATTTAGATACCAGATCCCCATCCTAGCGATGGTCGGGATCATTGATACCCTAATCAAGCTCCTAACTACCATGGTGTTAGTGTCATTCCATACCATGTTGTAGGCAAGCTCAAACGACGTAGAGTGGAAATAGATGGAGAAGTCGAACATCGAGAGGAGGAAACGAGGGAAGAGCCTCCAAGTGAGGTCGACAATCTTCATAGAATCCCTGGGGACAAGGAGGATTTGGAAAAGGTTTTCGCATATATTCGCCTAAGCCTTCCGGATTGTGAGGAGGAGAAGTAATGAGAGTGGCGCCTGGGACCAAGCTTAGTTTTGATACCCTGCCCGTATGCAAACTCTATGTTCAAAATGGAAGCCACCACAATGAAACCTTGGTGGATGGGGGCGCGAAAATCAACCTCATCCAGGAAGGATTTTGCAAAGGTGGTAGGATGCACGATTCATAATGAAACAACAAGAAGCATTCGGGGGACCGGTGGCCAAGGCCGGGCTTAGTGAGTCTGTGTGGTCGTTCCAAAGAATGAAATGAACCATAAAGTAATCCTCGGTAGGCTCTGGTGTGCGAGCGTGGAAATCATCAGCATGCATTTGCATGACAACACGTACAAGGTGGATATAGAAGACCTCGTTACCAAGAGAGGGGAACTGCTTCCGCTGCTTGGGACAAGTGGTGATCCTCCAAAGGGGTAGCACGAGAAAGGGTGCCTTTGCACAATTAGAGGGCATGAGGCAGAGAGTAAATATCACGATTGAGGAAGCCTTCAAAAAACAAATAATGAATAAACATGGGCCTACCTCAAAAGAAAAGACGACAAGAGGAGGATGTCATGTGAGTCATGGTCGAGAGAGGGAGCCGGAGATTGAGCTAGGGGCCAGTCTACGCTGGCCAAAGGACGAGTGGTCTAAGGGGTTGGAATTAACACTAGATGTGCTAGATTTGCTACAGCATATTAAAGTTATCCGGTATCACAAAGTGGGTGTGGACCCGACTGTGCTTGCCAATTTTGAGGCGGAAGTACGAAAGGGTTATTGCTTGAACGGGAAAATAGTCCACATCCAGCCAAAAGTGACCGCAGCACCAGAGGCTATGCCGACAGTTCGTTATTTAGGAGAAAGATCCCGAAAGTCGCAAGTATAAGCCGGTGTCTGTATTACTCGAGATAACCAAGGACGAACAATGGCCAAGGAGGAGGACATCCTAGGAATAATTAGGGAAAGGCCCACGACAAAAGGGCACCGCATAACGGAAGAGGTAGCTGGATCAGCTACCTTGAGGAGTGGATATTCTACCAAGGCCCGCTTTAACTTCTTCAGGGACGAGGTGCAATCTTGGTCCCTCTTCCAGATCACGTCTTTCTTTAGCGGTCTGTGAAGGGGAGCAACGATAGCAGAGAAGTTCCTAGCGAATTTTCTATAATAGTTGGCCACTCCTAGGAGCGATCTCGACTCTGCGAGTGTATGAGGAGTTGGTCGGTCCCTAATCGCTGCCATTTTGTTGTCCTCAGCTTTTATGCCATCTCCATCTAAACGTGGCCCAAGTACAGGATTTTGGTCTAGGCCCACTCGAAGTTTTTTGCATTGATCTTGAAATTTGCCTCACGCAACTTCTTCAACATCTGCCTCAGATGAGCCTCATGCTCCTGGAGGGTTTTACAAAAGACTAAGATATCATATAAATATACTACCACAAATTTGTCTAACCACGGCCTAAACAAATCGTTCATAGAATGTTGAAAAGTGGCTGGTGCATTCGTTAGTCCAAAGGGCATCACTATAAACTCGTAATACCCATACCTAGTCCTGAACGCCGTTTTATACTGATCGTCAAGGTGGACCTCAATCTGAAAGGTACCCTAACTTTAAGTCCATCTTTGTAAAGTACTTGCAGCCTTGCACCCGATCTAGCAAATCATCTATTTGGGGCAGTGGTTCTGCATTCTTAACCGTAACAGCCTTCAGACCCCTGTTGTCAATACACATTCTCAACTCTTCCTCCTCCTTCGAGACAAATAGAACACGTGCTCCAAATGGAAACGAATTGGGCCTAGTCCAACCCTTCTTGAGGAGTTCGTTTAACTGCTTACGTAGCTTCTTTAGGAGACATTTTATAGACTGCTCCTTTAGGAGCTCCACTGCTAGGTTTTATTTAATGTGATGCTGGATGAGACGCGACACTACTCCTGAAGGAGCTTCTGATAAGTCTGCGTACTCTTCCAGCAACTTGGCAATACAATACTGGGGTTGGTTGCTTCCTCTTTCTTAGGCTCAATAAATGGCCTAACATAGGCTACAAAAACCTGATCTTCTAGCTTCTCCTTTTTAACTAATCGCCCAAATCCAGGAGCACTGAAACAGCAATGTGGTAGGGAGTTATCTACTCCTGACACATGGAGCAGGCAAGCCTTCTTGACGTTACCTGAAAGACTAGGGAGCCTACACTCGTGCTCTCGTAAGTACAGTTTGGCTCCTGCTACCTCTTCCCAATCCATTCCTAACAACACAAAGTTACCTCTTGTGTTTCGCCCACAACAAAATGAAGGGAAAAGGGTGCAAATGAGGGTGGGTGGGGGATTGTTGGTCCGTGTGTGGGTTTGGGTGGGCCGGGGTGCTTTTTAGGCTGACCTGTCCACTGTTGTTAACACTGCCGATGGAATGTCGCTGCTGCTTTGTATGCCTTGAATATATATCGTCACAAACAGAACTGCCCGGTAAACCGTGGGCAGAGAGAGAGAAGAGGACAACAAACGAGGGGCTGTGACAAACTGTTTCGTCGGAGTTTCACCGACTCATTTTTTTCGTGTTTTTTTGCTTTTTTGTCCTGTCAAAGACCTGATCACGGTTCGCATTCCTTTCAATTGTGGTTTGCTGCGTAGGTGGTTGTTCGGATTTGAACTCACACGTTGCATACCTGTCTCCCGCTCGCCACAAATATTATTTCTCAAATGTCAGGATACGCAATTCTATGATCGTGGGGGGGGGGTAAGGGGAAGGTCGTGTAGTTAGCTAGATCGGGTCTCTCTCTCTCTCTCTCTCTCTCTCTCTCTCTCTCTCTCTCTCTCTCTCTCTCTCTCTCTCTCCTCATGCACCACATGTTATTTCTTTCAAAGGTCTCGATGGACCATGGAGCAGATATGAAACTGATCGGAGCAGATACTACACTTGATCGCAGGGGGTGTGGGGTGCCATGTAGTTCTCTCTCTCTCTCTCTCTCTCTCTCTCTCTCTCTCTCTCTCTCTCTCTCTCTCTCTCTCTCTCTCACGCGCGCGC